TATATTTGCAAAGGTTTTATTCTATTATATTAACTATTTAAATTAACTTTTAAGATTAAATTATATATTTTTATAGTATGCACTTCTATCTTGAATTATACCAAATATTTTACGATTATTATATTATGATCTAACTGGAGATATGAGTGCTAGTACAAGTGAAAAAATGAAACAAATAGACGAGAGACTCAAACTTATGTTAGAATTAGGTGATCCAGAAATTGTTGTTGATCTTTGAATTAATAATGGATTTAAAGGCACAAAGTTTGATATATTTTGGGAAGAAGTTGTAATATATTTCAAGGAGGTTAGATTTTTATTTATTTTTTGTATTATAAACTAATTATATTATTTTTAAATTTAAATATATTTTAGAATACACTAGCAGTTCATGATCGTCATCATAAAAATATACTTTATATGTTACTTTTTATTTCAGTTCAAGATTTAAAAGATACTATAGTATTAAGACTAAAACAAAAAAAAGAAAAAAATTTAATTGATGATTATTTAGTTCTATCTGAACATTGGATTGCATTACAATTTTATCCAAAAAATCCATGAGCAAATTCAAGTATAAATCATGTAAGGTGTTTTGAAATTAAGTATAAAGTTCAAGTATGACAACTTAGAAAATCACATCTTGATGTTCATTTTTGTCATGCTATATTTAAGTATCTTTGTCATTTTGCAGTAAAATTTAAACTATATAGTGTATTAATGTTTGCTGATGATAAACATAAAGTGCCAATTGGTGAAGATATTTTAATATCAACTGGAGTTTGTAACAAATGTGTAGCTGTACCTTTGACAACTACATTAAGTGCAAGTGATCATGACTTTACAAAATTATCACTAACACTATCAGTAGTATTGCTAGTTACAATATCTGAAGAATCTACAGATTCATTTTATAATAGACAAGTTTTTGTTGCATATAAAGATACTATTTTTCAACCAAGCTCAGTTCTTCGATATGCTACAGAATTCTATAATAATTTAAGCTTTTTTTATAATGAGTTGTTGCCTGAAATTTTATTAATTTATATAGATGGTGGGTCAAATCATAGATGTACTTTTGGTTCAGTTCAGATTTCTTTAATATGTCTTTTTCTTAAAGGTAATTTTGATATGCTAATAGCTGCTAGAACTGCTCCATATCATAGTTGGGCAAATCCAGCAAAACGAATTATGTCAATAGTTAATCTTGTATTACAGAATGTAGCTTTGCAACATAATAAAATGAGTAAAATTTCTGAATTAGAATTTAGTCAACTTAAAACATTAGAAGCTATTCGTCAACAAGCAACTAATAATCCAGAATTAAAAAAAGAATTACAAACATCAATTGAAGATATTCAAAAAACTTTAAATGAAAGAACACAATGCCTTAAACTTCATGATGATTATTTTTTTACTTGCAATACTGTTACAGATAAAGAAATTGAAGAATTTTTTAAGGCATTTATTTTTTAATCTTTATAATTAAAAATATACTAATTTAATTACTATATATATATTTTTAAGCTATTCTTATAGTTGATCCAAGTCTTGAACCAACTATGACAACTTTAAATTCACTAAAAAAACTGCAACTTTATAATAATTTTCTAAAAACTCATTGTCAAATTTGAACCTATACCTTTCAAGTTAAAAAATATATTGATACTAAATGTTATGTATGCCAACCTATTCGAATGTCACTTGAACAGTTTGAAACTATATTTTTTTTACCTGATTCTGAACTTTCTGCAGGTATGATTATATATATCTAAAAATTTAAAGTTTCATATTTCAATTAAAAAATTTCACTATATACATAGATAAAGAACATTATAAAGAGTTTGATGAAATATATGGACAATCAACAAATGAAGAATATCGGTTATCACAACAAGAAATTACTAATGAAGAATCTCATGCAGGAAAATTTATAAATACAAAGATTTGACTTCTAGTTTGCTGTGATTTTTATGGGAAATATCACTACATTTATAGTGATACATCTTTAAATGAAGATGATTCAGAAATAATTATACAATACCTTGAAAATATTTCATATAGCTGTGGATCTCCGCTTCTTCCAGATGAACATCTACTTTCTGATCAACTCTATATACGTCAAGATATTACCTGTGATTCACCTATTGAGCGAAATTATTATTCATGTCGTATAAAAGATGTTGACCTATGTTATTGGTGTGGCGCAGAAGATAGTATTTTAGATCCTTCAGATGAGTTAAAATCACAATTTAAAACTATTTACCTACTTTGTTTCTCATGTAATACTGATGGCCATGAATGGTCTACTCGTGCACCAAAGGTGTTTAAAAACAAAAACAAAAAAATTCACTATTAATATATGTTCTAAAATTTATATAAATTATCAATAAATTCAAATATTATTTGAGTGAAATCGATTTTGAAATCATGTTTATTTATTATGTTTGTTTAAATTTATCCCCCCCCCCTCATTTCTGTATATAAAATATTGACGTTAACATAACAATCAACTTGGAATGGCCTAAGGGCTGATATTTAAAAATTATTACAAATAAGGTACAAAATAATTATACACTTAAAAATCTATTATTTAATCCCATTTCGATTATTTGAATATGATCGTAATATAATCATTGATTATTAATGCATAGTTAGCAAATAATTTTTCCTATGTCTCTATTTCTGTATTTGTCTAATTCATTAAGTTGTCACATACTCTCATAAATGTATTGTCATAGCCATCTTAATTTTATCTTTACAATATTAGGCATTCTTATGTCTTAACCCATGTGAATTTTTCATAGTCGCATATACGCGATATTTTGAATGTATATGCTCTCACATAAACTTGATAGAGCGAGTTGCCCGAAAGAAAGCATATGAGATTCAGAGTCATAACATAGATGCATATTCTTAGCACAGATCTTATAAGAGATGAGAATGTATTTAAAGGGTTGCTCTGGCCCTTAGCTCAAAGGGAAGAATGCTTTCTGAAATCGTCTCTAAATAAAGAATACATAACCCTACATTCTTTTATATAATAAATGCCTAATAATCATGTAAAATCCGAATTCCCTAATTTGTCATCATACACTGCATCTCTCTTACATCAACCATCGGAGTTAAACTCGGCATTGTTGTCAGAAGCTCTCCCATTCGATGGCGACAATAAGGAATGTAATAATAATCAATTAGTAATTCGAATATAAATTCAAATGCACAATAAAAAAGGTACATTCGATTCGTCAACCCATTATTCACGCTGTAATTTATTTCATTTAAATTCTTATATATATTTCTTAAAACCTGTTCATAAATGTTAAATACAAAGTTACAGATCGATATGCTTTTACAAACTTGGAAAATGATCATTCGGCCTTGGACAGCTATTCTGTTGTATTCTAAGTTAAGAACGAACAAATCAAGTAATCTATTATTCTGCTGAATTCTAAGTTAAGAATGAACAAACCAAGTATGCTGTTAACTGTTAGTTTTACAAATGAAAACTGTTCATGTCCTTTTACTATTCAGCTAACAAGCGTAAAGATGATACAACTTGTCAACTTTTATGGATACATTCAAAACAGGAGTTCGACCTTGTGATAATGAAAATCGTGTTCGTTCTAAAAGTGAGGACCGAGACATTATACATGGCAGCTTGGAGAAGTAAAAACGTTATGCCACACAAAGCTAATTTTTCATTTTGCATCACATGGATTTGAAAAATTCGGTCAGTCAGTCGGAATTTATTTATTTATTTATTTTTTTACAATCAAACTCTCTATAATCACACCCTTGGTTTCGAGAATTTTGTGCTTATATGAGTTGATTTTAAAAGTTTGTGATTATAAGTAAATAAGATTATAGAAGAAGTGACTATAGAGAGGTCTGACCGTAATTCTAAATAATGAATGATAACTTTAAAACACCTATTTAATCACGAAATAAGACAATTAATCATGATACCATTACGATTAAATCGGTTAGCAATTTTGGTGATATATTTGGGCCCTTACTTGTAATAATTTTCAAATATCAGGCCTAGAGATGTGCCGCGTACAGTACTATACGTACTGTACGTACTGTACGCGAAAACGATTCGTGTGTCTTATAAATGGCACATCACTAATCAGGCCTCTATCTGTAATTATCTTCATTTTTGGGCCCTTATTTGTAAATTTCCCTTACTAATTCCTTTGAACCATACAACTCAAGGCACAATCATTAATCAGGGGAGATACGATTTTTTCCAGAGTAACAAAGAACTTAATATTTCGAATATCAATATTGGAGTTTTTAAATTATAAACTCAGTAATCAGGTTCCAAAAATGGAACAACGCAAAAAACCACGTTCTTTGTTTTTGGTAACACTGAAATGTTCCTTAACTGGAGTGTATGTAGTACAAACATCTTTATTGTGTCTATTTATGGACTAGCGAATTAACTGTCACGCAAATTTATTAATTTGGAAATTAGTGTATAATACTATATCATGATTATGCAGGAATTTGGACCAATCAAATAGCATACAGCAAATAACTCAGTTTTCGTGCCGAATAACTATTAGTTATTGTAAAGAGAACAAATCCACCCTCCACTTCACAAAGAGTCGATATTTTGAATGAACTGTTTGATTCACTATATTGAACTTAAAAATTATTAAACGCATAATTATAAAATTTTTGAACTTAAATCATTAAATGCATAATTATAGTATTGAAACTTAAATTTTTGAATGCATAACCATAAAAAATTTTCCTTTCGCATATGAATATCAATCTTATTCACTTATTGCAAAATATATTATTTTTATAATTGTAATGTGTAAACGTTATCTATCTTACATACCAAAATAATGTGGTCTAAATAAATTTAATCGATGTTATTTATAAAAGTAAATTCTAAACTCTTTTCTCTATGAGACATTTTTCCAAAAAAAAAGATGAAAGTCAATAAAAAATAAATCAAAAAAACTAAAAAAATAAAATAAGAAATTTTATGTGCTATAACCAATATTCAATGAATTAATTAAACCATTCAAATGATTCAGATAGTTCAAATTATCCATATTATTAAGAGCATTCAAATTATCTAAATTATTAAACGCAAAAATATTAAATAATTGTTCATATGTTGGCTCTAATGAACAAAAAGTAAGAGTTGTGTCTAATATGAAAGAGTTGGGATTTAAAGTTGCAATTGAATTGTTATTAAAACCTTGTAGCAAAGTTGTGTTCATAATAACATTTTCAATTGAATTAAAAGGTAAATTTTCTGTTGACTGCATTTCATAGTTAAGATAAGTAAGATGATTTGATTCGATTTGTTCGTTCATCTGAAATGACTCACCAAGTTCTAAATTAGGACTTAAATACTGCGATTCGGTAACAAACTGTGCTTCTTGTTGCATGTCTACTGATTCATAACTTCCTTGAGAATTTCCTTGAGAAAAGTCACTATTGACTGGATTATTTTTTCCATTCTGAGAAGATTTCGGTTCACTGAAAGTTATAGTGGATGGTAATATAGACCATGGCTTTATTAATTCATCAGGCTTCATACTAGGTTCTTTTTTTTTACTTTCTTCCGATCCTGACATAAATTTATAATCTGGAAATATATCACGATGAACTCTCTGGCAAAGATCTGCTAATATAGTATATTGATTTTTTGTTTCATCTGGAGCATTATCCCACCGATTTGCAATGATTTTTGATATTTGTACGAGGTTTTTATTTGGATTTTCTTTTATTATTTCGCTTTGAATATCCTTCCTATATAAAATGAATGCATTTTGGGGCTTTGGAGTTTTATCTTGATTTTTTTTGGTTTTTTTACAAGGTGTTAAAAGTTGTTCAAGTGCAAGCTTAAAATTTAAATCATTTCTATTAGAAAAAAAATCAGAAAAATTTTTTTCAATTGAAAGTTTGAGTTTTTCTTTAAATTCTAGAGTTTCAAAATAATGAATGTTTTTTCGTCTTTTCAATTTTATTGTTTTTACAGATACGGGTTTAGTTTTGGGCATTTTTTTTTTAATAATATACGTCCACATTTTTTTTGACTTTTTATAAGTTTTTTTTTTTTTATTAAACAGTTAATAGTTAATGTTTTATTATCTTTTTTTTGTCTTTGTTTTGAAAGCTTTTTTTTAATAACGATGTTTATAAAGAAAATGTTGCCTATCTTGAAGATCATAAACAACCAAGAACCAATATCAATGAAAATGTTTCAGAAATGGTTAGAGCTTACCCGAATTTACCATAGACCTAAGCCAAAGTATTGAAATTGGCAAATTCTTGTAACATTATTCTTTGTATGCGTATATACATAATTCCCAAAAGATAATTATATTTGAAGCATAGTCATATTTTAATACCAAACGGTTACCTTGATTTTCATTATGTTGAGTTGATGACAGTAAAGGTTACAGTATTAAAACCGATGTACAGCATGAACCAATTTGAAATTGCTGTTATATCGATTTACGATTTTGATCTGTGAGCACGTGATTTAGATGCGTAAAAAATCAGATTTATTTTTATAGTTTGTCTCACTCGCATATAATATATATTTTTTACAATAGAAAACTTAATTAAAGTTATATTGTGCACATTATTGCACCAATAGTAATCAATAGTGACAATGCAATGTGATTAAAATTTTATAAGTGTAAAAATTTATTTTGCTATTTCCACGATAAAAAAAAAATAATAACTTGACATGTCACTTCAATGATTTACTTAATTTGAACTTATTTGTTTCACTTATGTTATAAAGAAAATGTGTTCAGGATTGTCATTTACAAATACGCTTTGTAATCAGAATCAGATGAACCGAAGATTTCGAGTAATTTTTTTATATTGAATTTATATTGGTTTATCGTAGTTTTATAAATATATGGATGCATGCTATAACAATATAAAATTTTAGACCTTATCTTATTCATTCCAAAAATAGATTTATTTCGGTAAATTGGTGAGCATGAACCAAATATTATAAATACAGTACTGTTCTATTTTATTTATTCACTAAAATTATATCTTTGTAAAAGATTATAACTTTGTAAAAGGAATGAATATGCTAACGTTTTAAATGTACCTTAAAAAGGGTAATTTGATCCGACTACGATTTTAATGAGGAGGTAACTACATAAATATTGATAATTATGTGTTTGTAAGCCTGAGGGCTTCTTCATTGTGGTGCAACATGAAATCCTTTTTTCTTATTCATGTGATCGCGTGCAAATTCCTTCACACTCTTTATTCTTGAACTCCGATAATGAAACACAACATAAATGTACTTTACTATCTTAATTACTTCTTTTTTAAATATGAAATAACTAACAATCTAACTAAAATCGTAAAATTATGAAGGCCAAAAGTGGTTATGAAGGAATGATGGGAAAACTTTTAAGACCAATGAACAAATCAAAATATTACCTGAATAAGGTGCCAAATAAATAATTAAAGCCTTTTATCAATAGATCACTATCAATTGCTCCGATTCATGCCGTTTGTAAAACTTTATCGCAGACAATATGTGCACACAATTTTGATTTACAGTATAAGACGTGTTCCCGATTTGTTTGTCCATTTGTCTTAACATATTTCACTCATTCCTAGAGTGAAATTATGTACACGTTGGCTAAACTATATAATTTTTGATTAGATTATAATTAAACAAAGATAAAAAAAAAAAAAAACAAGGAGTCAAGATCTCCAATGATGCCTTTTGATTGGACACACATGCTGATTATCATTTCTAATTTAGCATTTTGGTTTGCTTTATCAATTGTTACCATATTTAGAAGCTATGTGCTACTATATAGTTAATGATGTCAGAATACGTTAGATACGTCCATTTTATCATTGATACAAAAATCATGCCATATGGCATTACTTTTTTCTTTCAAGCCCCTAATTTATACTAGTTTAACGTAAACTATGAATACTGACTTAATATAATTGAGGTTCTTAGATTAACACATAAATAATGATATTTAAAAGACCGTAAGTTTTGCTAGAGTATTAAAATAGCTTATAAATGTTTGTAGAACTCTCGAAATATAAGAAATACTTTATTTTTTATAATGATCTTGCGTAATAGTTTGGAAAATAATTCAACAAAAATCACTCTCGTCATAGCGAATTCTCGATATGATGAAATTCGATAAAGTGAAGAAAATTTTAATTATAGAATAATAATTTGACTAGTGAAGTACATACTGCATTTTTTCGACATAAACTATTGTGAAAAATTTTTTCTCGAATAAATGATTTCATTAAGTTTTTTTTTTATTTATAATGATTAATTCGGAACTGTCCACTTCCCCTCAATAATTATTTCACTGAAAATTCATTTAACCGACAATACATAATTAGGGTTAACATTTACTTAATTGTGGTATATATTTTTTGTTACTTGGCGTGATGTCTGCTAAATAAATTGTTGGTAGAACGAGTGTCGGTGAATCTATGATAACTTAATGTGCCCAATACTCTATTTGTGAATTTATTAAAAAAAAACTTTATTAATAAAACACTATATTCAAAAATATACAGTATCTATCAGTTAAAACCATTCACATATCCTCTTTCCTGGTTTAAGCGCGACTACATCATACAGATACATAATGTAATATAAATAAGGAAATGATCTTGAAAAGTATTCCTAGTCTTAGTTGATTAATAAAGAGACGCTAGTGCCATAAACTACTTATTTGTACGTGGTATTATTGGCTGAACGATATGTCAACCATCGTAGTCAGCCCGAACGAGTAAATTGTCAAGAAAAAGTCGAGTTAATCAGTTATTTACTTGAAAATCAGTTAGACTCATCATTGTAATATACGAAGATTTTATAACAGTGTGGCTCCATGTCATAGATGGTTTACGTCATTGATATACACCACTATCTATCTACTTGACCTAATTAAGTTTCCTTTAAAGACTTGTAATAAGATTCATTTCATATATGTGTCATTTTACTAAAACAAGAGTTAATTTATAAATATAAAAATATAGATGGGGTAAAAATATGATAAATTACAAAGTTTTAACTATAAATCATCAAAATATATAAAAATACAAAATAATAAAAACGTGTCACATGGTAATGGAAACTCTGAATGCATAAATCTTGAGATTTTAGGGAGAATATAAACATATGTTGGACACCATAGGGATCACAACTTTAATTTTGATATTATCAAATAGTCCAAGTTTCATATAATATTTAATAATTTCAAAACAGATTCGATGTCTTTATTTGCCTCTTCTCTTACTGTAGAGATTTTAATATTATTGAGAAGTTTTTCCAATTGGCCAATAGTCGCCAATAATTCTCTTTTAAGATCACAACGACTGCATATTGATTTCATCTTATTGCCAAGCTCAATTATACTTAGTAAGCATTCATTTTTCATACTATTCAACTTGTCGAGCTCACTTTGTTGTTTATCCATCGTCTTGCCGTAAGAGTCCCTTTTATCACACATTTTCTTACGCAACGAATATTCAGCGTCGAGATCGCGAATAATATCCAATACCACTTTCGTTTGCTCTTCAATTTTAAAATTGGGTTTGCAATGACTATTATTCAAGCAAAATGTATAAGACTTATTTGTGATAAATAATATAAATCAATAACGTGACTAATGAATCAATAATACTAACTCTTTTAAAAGACACCCACATATTTTACAAGTGGTTAGAGTCAAAAAACAATCACACCCAAATGAAAGAAATCTTCCGTAATTTTCATGGCAAACTTTATTGCATCTAATACAAACAGAGTTAGAATAACCGGTCTCGATTTTTGATTTAATCGTAATTTCTTTATAAGTGGTTTTAATATATGTTGTGGTTCTCCTATTTTATCTCGTTCTTCCTTCACGAATGCAACTTCTTCCTTAATCGCATAAATGTTTTGGAGATTATTCTTAGCATTAAATATCTCAGCTCTAATTCCTTCTATTGCAGCTTTAATATCAACAAACTCTTGTGTAGATATAGGTTTCATTTCATTGACTGTTTTTAAAAGGTGTTTAACTTGTTCGTTTGAGTGTTTCCAATAACTTTCTAAAATACTGCGTTCACTTTTAAATACTTGGATCAGAACAAAATGTCATATTGTTCATATAATATATTTGCTACTTAAAAAAGAGTTAATAAGAAAAACTTTTTAGGATTTAAATTTATATGTTAAAAATTAATAAATAATAATAATAAACCTTAGGCACGACAACTTCTTTTTTAAATATATCAAGACTGAATGAGGAACTACTCTTTATTGAATTAGTCACGATAAGTAAAAGATTTTCTTTAAAAAGATTATCTGGCAAATTACTCGAAAGACGTATAAGGTCGTTTTGAATTGACTCTGTAATTCTTGATTCCGTTCCATTAACAACTAAAACAATTGCCGTTAATTGATGTTGGGAAATTGCGCTTTCTATAATTGTTTGCAGGTTACGGCCATCTAGTTCCTTGCTACGTGTATCGCTCAAACTAGGTGTATCGATAAACGTATATTTATTCTCAGGATCAACAAAGTTATAGTTAATGCATGAAGACGTCTGGCTTTTAAATACATTATTCACATCTACTACAGAATTTACCTTGAGATCTGTTCAAATTTATAACCTAAATATTACATTTAAAAGATAAAATAATAATAATGATAATAATTAAATTTTACCATGTTCAGTAACTTCATGCCATTGTGTTGGTATTGCAATCCTTATGTCATCAAGGCTGCCATTACGAAAATAATTGGTTATAGTGTTTATTATAGTTGATTTTCCTACTCCAGTTGCACCCACCAAAAGAATCTTAAAATAATTTTTTTGTTGGTCGAGTATTTTTGAAAGGTTTTCTGAAATTTCTTCTATTGTCGGACGCAGGTCCGCATTATGTTCCCAACATTTTTCGTAAAGTTTAATATATGAACCTGGTGTACCTTCAACAGGCTTTTCTCTTATTCCCTGTTGTATTTGAATTTGAATAGCCAACGCTTGAACACGACCGCTGACTTTAACTGATTGAAATGGTGGTCTGCCACTTGAGATTTCCCAAAGAATTACGTCAAAACTATAGATATCAGATTTCTTGGTACGTCTATATTGTTCACATTCAAAACATTTAGGATCAATGTATGCCGCCATTCCATGAACTTCGGAATTTGAAGTTCTTGATGTCTCGTCTCTTGACAAACCAAAATCGGCAATCAACATTTTTTCCTCGTGAACTAGAATGTTTTTAGAATGCTAAAGCATAGGAGTTGTTTATTAAAAATAGAAAATCATAAAGTTATTAAAAAAAAAAAAAAAAAACGGGCAGAGTATTATCTTTTTTATATAATATAAAAACGGTTTTATCTCTGTTTGGCTATATTATCAAATACTTAACACTCACAAGATCTCGGTGGATAATATTATTTTCATGTAAGAACTTGAGACCGTTTGAAATCTCACAGGCTATTTTTAATTTGTTAATCCATTTTAACTTTGAAAAATTATTTTTTAAATATTCGCGCAAATCTCCGTTATTTGCATATTGTAAAATTATATAGAATTCACTTGAAATATCTATTATTGGATATATTTTTTAAAACCAACAATTTCATATGTAAAAAAACTATTATTATTTGCTGACCTCGGGTAACTCCGTAAAATTCAATAACATTTTGATGGCTGTAAACTTTTTGTAAGTGCTTAAGCTGAATAAATATAATGATGCGTATTTATTAGATTATAATACCTCTGCACAATATTATTGTAGTCATATAATCATTCACCTCTCTAACAAATCCTTGAATAGTCTCCTTTTCGTTTAATTTTTTAAGCGCAATGGTTAATCCATGAGCTTTCCATTCTGATTTATACACAGCTCCGAATCCGCCTTTACCAATTTGCTTAGGGTTAGAAAATTCAGTATAATCATAAGACTTGATATCCCCCTTTTAATAGAATCTTCGAGCCATTCCATATTCTGACAAATAATTGTTCTTATATGTCGAATAAATTTTATTAATGGATGTAAAATTACAATTGAAGAAGAAAAGAAATCGCCGTAGCTCGTCATGCTAATTCAAGATATAATAAGCCCTGATATAGAATAAACCTCAAAAATTTGTCTGACTTAGAAATGCATTTACATTAGAGATGGGAAAGGTAATTACTTATTACGTAAAAAGTTAAATCACACTAAGCGCCAATTTAGCATGTTATTAGTTGTAAGTATATGTTATTAGTAATTTGTCGCATAATGTGATTTGATTTTTTACGTAATAAGTAATTACCTTGCCCATCTCTAATCGACATAAAAAGAATCTATTGCAGGATTCATGCATAGCGAATTACGATAGCATTTTTTCCGGATAAGTGCAGAGAAACTTAAGTTTAGGCAATAGGTCTGCAAAATTTCTGGTGGTTCAACTCCAGCTTGGGTGCAAGTTACATAAATATGTAAATTCTTGATCAGAACTATTTTGTATACCAGTACTTACTCTATATTCTTTCAGCATAAAAATAAAGATGAAATCATTTGTTATATTTTTTTAGTAATGACAATATAAGTGGTCAAATAAATCATCAATTTTATACATGTATTAAAAGTTTAAATATACTTTCTTTTTAGGTTACAAAAGAAAATTCATAGTGAATAATAATAAGTGTCGTCATAAATTCAGAATAAAGAAGAAGCAAATAATCTTAATTCTATAAAATAATCAAGAAAAAATTTTAGGTAGGTTCCAGTAGGTACCAATAAGAATAGAGTTATCTAAATTGTCACTATCATTTAGTCATTATTTGATTGCACTTGGTAATCTGTGTCATATATATAAGTTTATCTGATTAATTGATTTTTATAAACTTACTTGAGATTTCTCATAATTCTTAACCAATCAAATTATACAATTTTTGTTGAAATTAATTAAATTGTTCAAGTTTTAGAAAAAACTTTCATTATAGATCACTTTACCAAAACTGGACAAAAAATAAAAAATTTTTACATTTAAAATAAAGTAATAACTACTAAATAAATCAATCTTGGACTCTTAATTAAACTTATTTTACATACTAAACTTGATCTAAAAGAGATACAAGTTTCTTGAAAATCTTTCATTAACAGTTTTAAATTACAAAAATATTAAAAATAATATTGCAATAAATAATTCACATTTTAGCAAAAATGATTCTAAAGATCTAAATATCTTTACTAACTCAGTATACAACACAAGATGTTAACTCAAAAAAACAATAAAAAAATTACAGATAATCTACAAATCAATTTATTATAAACTCTAAATTAAACAATTTTCTAAGATATTTTCTTTTCTTCTCTTTTAGTTTATTTTATTGAAAAATCTAAAAACTTAAACAATTTTACATTCACAATTTTAATTATTAAATTTTCTACAAAATATGCAAAAGAATTTATTAATATTACTATAAAAGACCTATCTAAACTTATCTTTATAGTCATGTTCTTTATCTCTAACTTCATTAACAAATATTTATTTATTATAGATATTATCAAATTTGAACATATATTTAAAAAAAAATTTGTATTCTTTCTACTGATTAAAACACAAAATTATAAGTAATTTATTAAATAATCTATAAAACATACAAAAAAGTATTAAGAAAAAGAAGCAGACAATCAAAATATATAATTAGAATATAAAGTTATAGTAAAAAAAGAAAACTAGAAGATATAACAATAATTTCTATTGAAAAATAAAGAAAATTTTAAAATATTATAGCTGATATTGAAAAAAAACAAACAACAACACATAACTAGTTATCTGAACAAATAATAAGAAACAAATTATATATAAAATTTAAAAATAAACATAATATATAACAAACAAATAAAAAAACAGGTAATAAAATTAGATATATAAACAATATAAAACGAGATATAGAATATATAAATATTATATAAATACAAAGTTTACTTAAATATATTCTTAATAATCTTATTGAAGATGTTATCTACAATTATAAAAACATTTAATTATTCTTACAAAATATAAGCAAAGTATATAATTTTGTAAACTTTGTTCTTTTTAAACATTCACCTTTCTATCTTTTACTTCTCTCAACTATTATTAATATTCTTTTTGATCTTCTTACTGATTGTCACAACCAAGTTATTATTAATATTGGTTTTATTTTTTCTTACTCAGTTCATAATAATATTAACCAAAATAAAACAATTATATCTTTATTATAACATATCTATTATAACTCACTTATTTCATATATATGTTCGAAAGTATTTAAAACTTCAAACATCTAATTTATTATAAACAATGCTCTGTTCTGGCATATATAAATAATATCTTCTGGATTACTTTTTTATAAACTAAGCTTTTTACATATTATTTATAACTAAATCATTTTATATTAGTTAACATTCAAGTTAATCTCTCAAAATCCATCTTGGTTACTAATAATCCTCTATTTTAATATAATCCTATCTCTTATAATAAATACTTATTTCTACTTTATTTTTTCAAATAAACTTTTATATTCTAAGGTTGCTGATTTATTTTAAATAACAGTCAATCTAAATAAACAAAACTAATTATTTCTAAATCTTCTAAACTTATTCAAATTGCAAAAACTAAGCTTATAACTAATTTTACACTTGCTATATCATTAATACAGTCATTATTTTTATTATTAAATACTACTTACATAATATTGTTATTAACCAACCTACTTGTAACAAAATTTTTATTTAATACATTGGTCTTATTAAACTAAAAGCCAAACTTTGTCATATAATACCTTCTAGTATTATATTATATTTTCAAATTTACAATATTACTATATTTTTGCATAATAATACACATTTGCACATTATTTTGAGGACCTGCATGTTATTTTGAGATGTGCATGCATGATATTTTGAATTATTTTGTTGATTTTAATTATTTTAAAACATGTATGCATAATATTTCAAATCTTGTATCGATTTCAATTATTTTGAAATGCACATGCGCAATATTTCGAATTATTTGTCAAATTTTAATAAAAAATATATATATAAAGTCATCAAAAAAAAAACTATTTTTCCAAAGTTTAATTAGCAATATAATAATGAAAGAACATATAAGCTGATTTAATTAAACCCCAAAATTAGCCAATCACAATTCAAGATAGCCAGACAAAATATTGCTTAACAAAGCCAATTTTTGAATTTACAGAAAAACAACTTTTTTTAATTTACTTTGGACATATAATTAAATAGATAGAAAATAATGTTATCTACATATTTAATTATAAGTTAAACATAAGTTTAAATAGATGTTTTCTTAAATTTTGTTTCCAAATTTACCTTTGTACATTATTAAACCAATGGGTCAATGACAAACCAATTCATAAATATCTGAACTCCTCAATAACTAGTGATAGCACTTCTTTCTACAGCTTAGCACAGCTGTTTTATATATTTTTATTTGCTTTTTATCTTATATATGTATTAGAAAAGCTTTTTTATAATTGTGACATGTTTCATTTGTTGACTTTTCAATGTTAAAACTTTCAGTAACAATTTATTTAAAAAGGGCCCAAAAACCAAATTGGCTGATATGACATGTACGACTGATATTTTATTTGTTGCCTTAACATTTGTTGCGAGTCATTAATAAATAACAGTATCCTTATTATATTTGAGATATTAGCCTTTAATTAGAGTATCATACTTTACTGATTATTTGCTTTATTAACCAAAAGTTATTCTATTTGAATATCAAACCCATGATAATTAGAGTTTAAAATTTTACAGTATACAGTATGTACTTTAAAATAAATATACTCGATAAGTTATATTGAACAAAAACATATATAAATAATGAGCAAATAAGTAAAAATTATCTTATTAATATATATAAATAAGACAATAGCACATATTTAAGAGAGGTCATAATACTGGTATAATAAATTACATAGATTATCAGGTTTGTTATAATTTATTTATTTCTACATTTATCTAAATGGCATGCATTAAACTATGAACTTAAGAAATTGTTTTTACAAAAGATAGAATAAAAAAGACCAAATTTTATAATAATCAGTATTATCTTGAATAATTAATTAAATTAATTACCTTATCCTATTGCACCAAACTATTTCAATATTCTTGATATAACTAGTAATAAAACAGGCAGTATTTTATAGGGCTGGAGCTTCATTATAAGGGTTTTCAAGTTTAATATACAAGTTGCTGAAATTGAAACTTTTAAGTGAAAGTTATAATAGGTTATTTCTTATAATTTCTCATAAAAGTATTACAAACAATTAATTATCTGTAATGGTAATTTATGAACAAACTTAGCTAATCTTAGTGACCTGATTTTTAATTATTCATTTACATTTATCTGATCAAAAGAGAAGTCAATAGTGAAAATATTAAATAAAAAAGAATAAATAGTATTAGAAAAACTTGAAATAATGGGCTATTTTGAGTATGCTCATGTGAATTATTTTGAGTATTTACAGGTTGTATTGTATAAAGAAATGCCGTATTGAATAAATTGTTCAGGTATGTATATTTAAACTTGAAGAAAGTAAAAGTAATCAAAAATACATGAAAGAAACTGAATTGATAATAATAGCTATATTGATAATATGCAAACTTGTTAAATATAATTAAAAATAAGTATAATCTATATAGAAATATAATAAAGAAAGGTTAAAGAATATAATCTTTTTTGGGGTCTAAAAATAATAATAAAAAGAGATCATTCATACCATTCTATTAACTAATAAACAGCATATTTAAAGTGTTGAAATATATATTTTTTTAATAACATGGATAATAACACTCACCCAATTTCAAAAAAATGAAGTTATTCTATTTCATTTAAGCTTGATGTAGTTTCTTATGCAAAAAGCATATCAAATTGTAAAGCTTCAATTTTTTATAATGTTCATAGAAAACATGTTCAAAAATGAAGAGCACAAAAATCAAAATTAGAAGCAATTAAAATGAAATGAGGTTTAAGTCTTAGAAAAGTAAGAGTACTTAAGGGTTGTGGTTATAAACCATTATATTCAGTAGTAGAAGTAGAATTAATAAAATTTGTTAAAGAAAAATGTGATAAAGGGCTTGCTGTTACAAATTCTATGATTGCATTTAAGGCAAAAATATTGGCTAAAGAATTAGGACTTGGAGATATTAAAGCTTCTTATAGTTGGGTTGAAAGATTTAAAAAGCGAAATAATTTAGTCCAAAGAACTAGTACATAAATAGCTCAAAAATTTCCAGAAAATACACTATTAATTGTTAGTGAATTTCTTAAAAGTTTGTGTGAAGCTACAATAAATTTTGAAAAATATATATACTTTCATTTAATAAGACACCAGTTTGGTTTGACATGCCATGAAATTCTACAGTTAATTTTCAGGAAGTGCGCAAAGTTTGAATTAGAATTACAGGAAATGTTAAATTGCATTTTACTGTCATTTTAGAGTTTACTGCCTTTGGTCATAAACTTCTGCCTATAGTAATCTTTAAATTAAAAAAAATACCTAAAAAAAAATTTCCAAAAGATATTGTTGTGACAGCTACAATTAGTGGGACTATGCATAGAGGTTTAATGCTTTCTTCATATATTCCAAAAGTTATTCAATCAAAACTAGATAGATTTTTTTAAAAAAAAGGTATCTTATTTGTTAATATTCATGAAAGTCATATACGTGATAATGTAATAAAAGCATTAAACAATAAAGGCTTGGAGGTAGGAATAGCAATTTTTTTTTTTTATATATTGTAATTAAAACTAAGTAATAAATATATTTAAATCCAAATTTAATTATTTGGACTTAATCACTATTTGTTTTAAATCGATAAAAAAGCATTAAATTATTCTTTTACAATTCTCACTTGAAGATTCTAAAAATTTCTGATGGGACTACTAGCATATTACAACTGCCAGATGTATTAGTTAATAAACCATTTAAAAATAAAATGAGAAAAAAATGGAATAAGTAGATGAGTAATAGAGAAAAAAAATTTACCAAAAGTGGAAATCGCAAAAATGTATTATATGAATTAATTTGTAGATGGATATCTAAAATGTGAAAGGAAATTAGTTCAGAATTTCTAATAAAATCAATTGAAGTATCTGAACTTACATTGAATCCTGATAGAAGTGAGAATGATAGGTAGGGTTATATTTGTTTGTATTTTTTTATTTCATGTAATTTACATAAGTTTCAGAAATTATCATGTCATTTTCTCATAAGTAATGGCATTATAGAAGTTTAGCAGGTTGTTGGTGGTAGCTTATTGTGATAAGTTACTGTCAATTAAAAATCAACCATCATGGCCTTCAAATTTGCAAGTCTTGTAAAAAGCACTGCTGCAGTTGCATACAGAATATGTGTAGTTATCAATTTTCTTAATATGTACAATTATTATTATTGTTATGTTTTCATTATAATTATAGACTTGTGGTAGTATTTTTCTTACATGATCATAAATTTGAAGGTTGTACTAGTTAATTCTGAATGAATACGTAGTAAGTTATTTAATTTAGTAACTTACCTTTTTTGGTAACCTATAGTAATTTACTAGAAAATTCTATATTAACAACTTGAATGAAGCTTAATAAGAATATGAAATCATTATCATATGGGATCTTTGCTATGAAAATGACCATCCAAGACTATTTAGATTTTATAAATAAAATTAAAATTTACTAGTGATCTAGTAATCTAATTTGAATAACCTTTTTTTTATTTCATAAAGCTTAGTAAACTTATTAAATAAAAAAAAGTTTATTCAAATTGGATTATGAGATCATCAGTAAATTTTAATTTTATTTATAAAATTTAAATAGTCTCAGAAGGTCATTTTCATAGCAAAGATCCCATATATTCAAAATTGCTTAAAATATTGATTTACTGAAGCTTATGCCAAACAATTATCGAGAATCACATAGATGATGTGATTGTTGAAAAATTAAGTGAAATAGAGGAATTAGTAGCAGATGAAATAGGCTATGAAGATGAAGATAACAATGAGTTTAATGAAGAAATGATTGATGATGAATTTGATAAAGGATTTGATGATAAATTCAACAAAGGATTTGGTGATGAATTCAATAAAGGATTTGGTAATGAATTCAATAAAGAAATTGTTGAATTTGATGAAGTTAGTGATAATGAATTCATTGAAGAAAATGTTGAATTTGATGAAGTTGGTGATGATGAATTCAATAAAAAAGTGATTCTGAATTTGTGAAGCAATTGGAAATGATAAATTTGAGTAATTATTAAGTGAGCAAATGCTAATTAATATACATAACATTCTTTTTTTTAGAAATTTTCTTGCTTGTTTTAAGAATACTGGTATAAGTTATATAATCATTCTAGTTTATTCGATTATATATAATGTAAATATTGTTTTGTTTAAATAAAATTACATTAAAGCTGTTACAAATCAGGAATGAAAGTAGTGAAATGAAAAAAGGTCCTAAAATAGCTTTTAATCTTACATACATATATATATACTTTCAAAGTAGGTGTCATCAAATGGCTTAGTTATATCTTCCAAATCTGCTATATTAAAAAATAAATATTGTTACTATTGTAAATTGAGAGAGTCAATAATATTGCACGATTTAGCCCTGATAGTTAATGTAGTGTAAGTTATAATTAATTTATTATGTAAAAGGTAAGTATTAATGTTAACAATAAGGTTCTAAATTTATTTATACTAAGGTCATTAATGGGTGATCAGAAGGGAGTAGTGGTTTAAAGGAGGATCGGAAGTAATATGATATCTATAAGTGTAGCATTAACTTAAATAGTACTATAATTAAAACTAATAACTTAAAATAACTTAAAAGGGATCCAAACATTGATCATGCTATCAATAATAAATTAAAACAAGATGAGCTCAGTCTGTGTTAGTACACCAAATATATTCAATTAAACTATTCTAAATATCTAATTATCTAATCCAAACAGTATTCTCATCATATATTATCCTTCGTCAGAGTTCTTAAATATTAAAAATTATCAATTATATAAAGTTTGTAATTATGCTATAGTTAAGTTAAAGTAAAATTACTATATCATGATTCAGTTATACATGACTCGAATTAGACATTGTACTAGTAGTAATTTTTTTATATAAAAAATTGCATCAAAATCTAACATTATTAATTAATTCATGTAATTAATTTAAAGAAGATATTTACTTATAAGAGAGCATTTATATTGTAGATTAAGAACTATATATTATAAATCATTATATAATAGAAGAAATACAAGTTGCATTACTGGTATTTAAAGGGCACATTATTTCAGGACATGCATGTGCATTATTTCAAGTCAAATTATTGATTTTTTAAAAATTGGAGATTTTGAAATAACGTGCATATGCATTATTACACAAAAATATGGTAAACATATTTAGAATATTCAACAACAACACTATATTTCAAATTCTTTAAACCAACTTAACAATTCTAATCTACTAGGCATATCTACTTATATATAATTTAATATTCTAAAAACAATCTTTAGTCTTTTATTAATATTTTTTTGTATTTTACGCCAGTTATTGATGAACCCAATTGCTTGATCATAAATTTTAAAATAATACAACTTATTAAACATATAAGCTAAACTTTTTTAACTATAATATTTCATATATTCTAAATAATAAAACTTTCTTTCTTAAATTTTTTTTTCTTCTTATTCAAAATATTTTATTTTCAAAAAACAATTCAAATATTATAAACTTTTTTTTCTAGATTAACTTACTATTCATAATAATTTACTATATATTTATTATGCTAATATTGTTAACCTATAGTTTTTTCTTTAACCACAATAATAACAGAAGCTGCTTAACTATAGTATAATAACTATAACTTGACAGATTCTATACAAAAGTCTACACAAGACTTAACAAAATACAAAGTGATTTGGGATTTTAAGGCAGAGGCAACAATAAATAGTATATGAAGATACTAAATATTGCATTCAGTTTATTAAC